CCTCATCGTACGTGTGGGCAGGGGTCTTAGCCAAAGAAGTTCTACATGGTCCCGCCTGCAAACTCCTTATCAGTCCTCCCGCCTTGACCTCGTCGACCGCCGATGGAATCTCCAAACAAGCCTGATTATATCGAGCAACGTACTTGCGCAATGATTCTTTCTCACCCTGTCTCATCGCCATCAATGTCAAATACGTCTTCTCCTGAGCCACCGCACTCGAATATTGATTTGTCAACTTTTCTGCAAAATCTCCAAAGTCCACTATCGAGCCTGGGGGGAGCTGTTGGAACCAGTCGAGCGCCCCTCCCCTAAGGGTCGATAAAAAGGCCCTGCAACTAACAGGGTCAGTATATCCATGCAACACAGCCATATTTTCAAATGTTCTCACGTCTCTCGACGGATCAGAGGTCCCATCAAACACCAAGTTGGTATCCTTGTAATTATTTGGCAAAGGCGCTGCCAATATGTCCGCCGAGAAGGGATGTCCTCGAGCGCGCCTCTCTGCTCGACCATCCACCTTAGCCTGCAATTGGCGCAGCTGCTCCGCCATCCTCTCCATCTCCCGGTCATGCGTAGGCCCGCCTCCACCATAGCTGGATTCCTCCTCCTCCGCGTTTTGTCGTGACCCTGCAACAGTATTCGGCGCAGTCGCAGCCCGAGAAAGACTGTTTGTAACCTGTTGAACCGCCTGGGCAGCTGCCTCCGCCACCATTTGTTTCATTTCCTGCCTGGTCATTACCACCGGTTGATCGGGGACCTGAACCGCTGCTTGCGGCGGCGCTCCTCCTTGGACCGCCGCTCCTCCCCGTTGTTCCCCTGTTCCTCCTGGTTGTACTGTTGCCAAATTTTGTGGTGGTGGTGGTGGCATCGCCGCCGCGTCCGCTGCGCGAGCCTCCTGGGCGCGATTGGGGCCGGTATTTCTTCCAGGGATCCCTGTTGCCGCTCCTACACCTTGGAGCACCGATGCGGGGGTGACCGGCGTCTGCGATGGGCCCGAAAAACCCGGGGAGGGCCTTGCCCCAACGGCCTAGTCGTCGTCCAAGCATCATCGAACGTTGACTGCAAGTTTTTGGGAATTCCGTCCGCCATAGCTGAGCTTCAAGCACACCTTTTGCAACGAAAGTCCCACAGACGGCGCCAAATGGTAACACAAAACTCCTCGACCGGCTGGAACTTGAGTAATCGCCTTCCTTCTCGCCGGTTGAACGTCGTGTACCTGCAAAGAACTCTCACACCAGAGGGGTTTTCCGGTGAAGAGCCTCCGATGCTTAAGTCAGTGTATATTCAATCAATTCTCCAGAGTAATAGAATGATCGTGTTGAAGAAGAAAGGCTAACCCCCTTTATATAGAGGTGAGATACTTGACCTAGGGCTGCCCGGATTTGATGAGCTGTCTGCCCTAGCTGCCCGTCCGTACGCACCAAACGCGTGTGTCAGAGGTAGCCGTCGCCACTATCGCCTGCACCAATCCCCTTTGGACGCGTGTCCTCCTGCACATGGGATATGCTGTCAGAGGCGGTTATTGCTATCCACCTCTGCTTTCTCGACACGTGTCCCCCTGCACATGGGGTAAATATTCTCCTGGAATTCTGTCAGAGGCTTCCTTCACGCGCCTGTGACTAGGCCGAACAGCGTGGTGTTAAGTCCTCGAAGTAATCGACCTGATGAGGTCGAATAAATTGCTCGATCACGTGTCTGGTCGAAGGATAGTTCAGTCGACAACCTTACTTGGTCGACTGGTTAATTGCTCGATTCCTTTGGCTTCCTCATAATATGACCTCCTCGACCGGTCAGCAGACCGGTTCAGCTTTGTGGGTATAATATCCCATTTCACTCCCCCATGTCTAATGAGAATGGGTTCCTTGAAATTTTCTCTAGAAAAACAAAATACAAACACAAGAGATACAAAAATATAAAAATAAAAAATGATGCTAACAAATTAGATCCACTAGTATCGTTTTTTATTTTCAAGAATTGAATATCTTATCACTAGCTCTTGAGTAAGTAATATTGCTAAATTACCTTGCTAATGGATTATGATCAAAGGAATTATCAGGAGCTTTTAGCACAGTTGCAACCCAATGCTGAGCTGGCTCGAATTCAACTTGGTCTATATAAAGGTGAGATTTTGTATGATTTTCTAAACAAGCCTCCAAAAACGTTGTGTCCTGAGAGAGTAAATTGAATATATTGAATAGAAGAAATGGTTATCTTGCAGCTGGCCAGCTGCCGCCTGCCAGAGCTCAAATAAAATGCAAATTATTGTTTCCGAAAACAATTTGATTATATGTCCATGGAAATCACTCCAAGGGCCCTTCAGAATAAGGAAAACCAACACTATAACATAGACAAGTAAACACCCTAAAAATCAGACAAAATATCTCGAAAATCCTCATTCTTAACAAATCATGTAGCAATAAATCATTATGCACACACAAAAAAATTGTTTTTTGGAAGGTGACACACTTACACACCAAAAAATTTCACCATCTTCAACATACCTTAACATTGCGAACCTTCATTAAAGAAGAGTTACTATCACTTCCTGGAAATCAACATCTAAGGTTATCCAAACATGGAACGTGCAAATTACATGACATGGATATCTTATAATAAAGAGTACCTTTGTCCGTACTGAGATGGGGTTAGAAACTACAAACTTGAAAAACTGTGGGAGATACTTCCTCTCATTTCCACCATCAGTGTAAAGTGCAGTGCACACCAAGCTATACAAAACCACCACAATTAAACTAGTTAAAGTACAGTGTGCCACAGAACAAGTGAACCAAAATAAGCACTTCTTTGAATTCCCTTACGTGTGTGCACCAAGTTCTTTCACATCATGCTCCACAATAAAATCGTATCGCCCCCCGACACGTACTGATTCAACATGTGATTTCGAAGTATCCAGAAGCAGTATCCTCTATCTTTCTGTTTGGATTTCAGCCTAAACAATCAAATATGAAATTTCTCATATTTTTGAGTTGCAAACGAAAATAAATTGAATCAAGTTATTCATTCATTCTCCAGTAACTCCACTTTAGCTCATTCGAAAGAAATTCCAAGTTATTCATTCATTCTCCAGTAACTCCACTTTAGCTCATTCGAAAGAAATTCCAAATCTAAACGACTCGGGCAATCACTACATACACAAATGAACATGTATTCTACCTTAATCACAACATCACGAACTTCAAAACTTGAGCTGTTGTTGATACTTATGTAACTGCAGAATGTCTCCCCAAGATATATCGCCCTAGCCCAAGAAAAAATGAAAATGATTGGCCAAATAACACAGTTCATCTAAAATTTATCACCTCACAGTGAGGAGAAACATCAATCAGCAATTTCCAAATACATTCATAAAAACAAAGAGATTTGTGTGCGCGCCTGCGCGCGTGTGTGCAGCCAAAATACCCAAATGATTGGGGGAGGACGAGAAGGCCTGTGAGGCCGAGCGAGTCGGTAGGGTGCTGGAGGAGAAATCTGTTGCGGTAGCTAAGATCGAAGGGATCCACGACAGAGGGATTCGATTGGCTGCTGAGGAAGCGGGGGAGACCGGCGGCGGCGGTTGGATCGTCGAACAGGTCCTCGCTGAAAAGGAGGTCGCAGGGATTGAATTTGAGAGGGGAGGTGTCCACGTGGACCGTCGGACGGCACAATCGCATCACTCTGAAAGCTAGAGTGAAGTGACTGCTGCGCCGCGCCGCCGCTGCCGCCGCCGCTCATCTCTTTGGCCTTTCTT